ACGCACAGTATGCACATATGCCAACAACAGACTGATCAATTGCAGTCTTAAAACCTCAATGGGAAGATACAAGCCAAACAATACCAAGTGAATTTAAATTCACCCCATTGCACAAGCAAGTGGCTATCAGGGTTCAGTAGCTGAGTGGATAACGGGATGGCGTTTGGAGCGAATGGTACTGGGTTCGAGTCCCAGAGTGAACATGAACTCGGAGATGCAGGTACATCCAGCTGACGAGTCCCAAATAGGAAGAAGCGCGTGTAAAACTGGATTCCACTGCTAGCTAATATCCATCTTTGCTAACAAATATCATTTGTCGGTAATTATATACATATTTCAATGGTTAAGATCATGAGTCAGTTGAAGCTAGACCACCATGGAAAACCTGGAAGCACTGGACGGCCGTTTCGTCCTATTGTGGGACTCCTCAGCAGTGCTCATCCATGACCTCGCCCCCTGCGAGATTCGAAACCAGGACCATTGGGCTAGTATCTAGTGGTGTACATGTCTAACTCCAACCAATCCACGAAATTGAGCGACCATTTTTATTGACATGGTTAGGTATCTTCCTCGAATTTTAATTCCATTCCTGTTAGAAGAGATGTGAATGTGTAGTGTTCAGTACTATTTCAGGCCCACATGGATTATTCTGGCTTCCGGACATACCAATTATTTCATTCTTCTTGAGTCACACTTTAACGCTGTCGGTTATTCCTATAATATTCGTGACTGTTTTTATATGGGCGCACGTGTTTGTGTCACTTACCCTATTGACCACATATCTTCTGCTTACATTTATCTGGCTATAAATATTGAGTCACGCTTTCTCAAATGGAGTCAGCACATTAGCCTTCTATGCTTTGCTTTTCTTTCCCACTTCTCATTCCTAATTCCTGTCTAAATAAGTGAGTACCTAAAATAAATTTATCCAACTCAATTCGTATTTGGCTTCTTATTACCACCGTAGCACAAACAGTGTTATCCTAGGTGTGATAAACGAAGTCAAGTAGATGGTTTATATTCATGGCGTATTCATTCGTTCTTCCTAATCAGAATTATATCAACGGCCTACAAGAGATGAAATCTCCTGAAGAGTGCTAAGCTAGAGCGAAACGTCTGTTCATTGATTTCAGGTTCTCGATTGTTTCACAACTTAAATCAGTTAGTGATCTCAATAACACAATCAAGTCGATGAATAACTTATTATTCTTTTGCATTTTGTATTATTGTTTGGTGCTATTGAACAAATAGATAGCAAAATTCTACCAAGTATACTGATCATTTTTAGTTCGTAAAATAAACAATTAACTGTTTTTACCATCCTATCAATCATGATCTAATGAGTTTTATCTGATAAGCAATTCGTGGTCACAAATCAAATTAATTTTAATGAAATGGTTTCAATGCGTGTAATTTTGTAGCTTTCTTTATTATCATAACGTGTTAAATAAAACAAGAATCCTGTAGTTTATATCACTGATTGATAGCAGCACAACCATTTAGTTATTGTAAGAAGCCGTGTTAAGTGGATTGTAAGACAATGGAACTGAAACATGGTTGTTCATCACAATAACTTAATTGAACTAAGACATGTAAACCACTAGATCGTGGATCATAGCTGAAGTTTCTTGGTTCCATCGTAGAATCACATACTAGTACGAAAGAGCTTTTCAGTGCTTAAGAAATTTTCAGCGGTTGTCTACATGAAGTTAGTTTATCATGTAAGCTATAAAATGCAAGGAATTCCACGAACTCCCTTATTAAAAACATGAATCAGTTTACACTATATCATCAAGAAACATTCGAGTAAATAGGTGTTTCGTTTAAAACGGACAACTAATATAAATTTATGTGTTTTAAGCTAATGATAAATTATCACAGTGTCTCATTACAGTCCATTGTTTTTGGATGCTCAAATTCCACACTTTGTCATCAAGTTAATCAACCAGAATTATATCTGGAATGATCTATCTGAGGAGTTAAAGTATGGAACAAACGATAGTGATCTCTGGAATCTTTACAAACTACTTAACTTATTCAAAATCGTTGAAGATCTAGTAACAATTCTGCATCAAAGTAGCTTAAGCTCGAACTTATTTCTGATAACTGGATGTAATCAACAGAGAGCCGACAATCTAAGACTTATGTTTACTGAAATTCATAAACAGAGATTTTCGTAACCTTTAAGAAATTCGTACCAACCACCCGAGTCTTAACTAATAGGTACCGTAATATTACTCACCTTACACCAATAAAATCACGTAACCTACATTTTTTCTGAGCATAAACATTTTACAGATTGATTATTTATACCTTTACAGTATTTTCATTGGATTATATCTCGGGAAAAACAGTGTCTGGTGACGTCATCCTTCAGCTGGTTCCAACTACCAAAACAGATTTTTGTTGGTTTATTTCTTGAAATAATTGGCATTTTAACATCACATACCCAGTAAGGCATGCCGCGTCAGGTTCTGAATTACTGATCTAAATGGATCGACGAATCATGTTCAGGCAGCTTACATTTTTTCTTTAAACATCTCGAAACGATAATTAATGAATAAACGTTTGGTCACTCATTACATTTTCTAGTTTAATTCTATTGAAACCAGTACCACGAATCAAATCTGATAAATCCTTGACTGTCGTAATACCCACTCTAGTTATTTCAGCTGAAGCGAATTCCCCGTCTCACTTCATAATGTATCCTACTTATCTAAACTAGACATAATTCACTCAATGGTCCCTTTACTCACAAGCAATGATCTTGTACTTCTAACCTCAGCATGTCTTTTATTCTCAATGGTTACATCTCACGGCCCTAAAGTGGCAAAGATTAGAAGACGATTTACTTCGCATAAAATTTTATCCAAGATGTTTATTCCAGAGGAAAGGGAAATGGATCTAGGTCTATTTTTATGTGTGTAGCTTTATAATTACCATGTACATTAATAGATCTAAATGTTGAGGAAGTAAAGTACCAAATTACTTGCTTACTTACGCCTGTTACTCACAATGGAGCATAGGCCGCTGACCAGCATTCTCCAACCCACTCTGTCCTGGGGCTTCTTTTCTGGTTCCATCCTATTCTTGTTCATTTTTCTCATGTCTATTTCCATTTCTCGGCGTAATGTGTTCTTTGGTCTTCCTCTTTTCATTTGACCTTGAGGATTCCATGTGAGGGCTTGTCTTGTGACGCAGTTTGGTGTTTTCCTCAATGTGTGTCCTATCCACTTTCAGTGCTTCTTCCTCATTTCTTCCTCCGCTGGGATCTGGTTTGTTCTCTCCCGCAGTACGTTGTTGCTGATAGTGTCTGGCCAACGGATCTGAAGTATTATGCATAGACAATTGTTAATAAACAATTGTATCTTCTGAATGATGGTTTTCGTAGTTCTCCAGGTTTCCGCCACATACAGTAGAACTGTCTTGACATTTGTATTGAAAATCCTGACCTTAGTGTTGGTTGGTAGTTGCTTTGAGTTCCAGATGTTCCTCAGTTGTAGAAATGCTGCTCTTGTTTTTCCGATCCGCGCCTTCACATCTGCATCAGATCCACCCTGTTCATTAAGGCGAATTAATTATCCTGTGGTTCTACGTTTCCATAAGCAAACTACCTAATGTTGATTTATAATGAAAATCATCTTCGGAAATTTTACAAGTATTTTACAATGAATGAGACTTTGTAAACTAACAAAGATCCACAGAACTAATGGATTCGAAATAATTCTTTGTGTTTAATCGTTCTCAGATATCTTCCTTATGCAAAGAGCTAACTCCATTGTTGGAAAGTAGTGTATTACTTTTAAATTTAAATCTTAGATATACTTAATTTTACACAGTAGCTGGTATAATGTTATAGAGTCCTTAGGCTAATCACATTTAACTGACTATGTTGCATTGTGGCGACTGGTCTAGTCTGTTAGACAGTAATGTGAACTATCTACTAATGGTAAGCAGATGAATATAAGTAACACTACACCAAGATTTTGTGCTACATGTCACCCGTTGTCCTGTAATATTTAAAGAATTTATTCATCCATAATATTTCAAATACTCTTATTAACTCAGTAGTTAGTTTCGTAAGCTTGAAGAAGTTAATTTTCATATTAGTTAGATCATTCAAAACTATATAGCACCTGCTGGTATATAGAAGATTGATGATACATTTCAAGGTGCAGCAGCAGGAATTCAAGAAAAGATGTTAGAAGTGAATAAGAAATACATTGAGGAAATCGCTAAACTGCATCATCAAGTAATCCCTAACTTGGAATCCTGAAATGGAAACAGAAAAGAGGTAGGCCAAACAAAACATTACGTCTAAAAACAGGAACAGATATGAAAAGGATGAATAACAACTGGAAAAAATGGAAATCATTATCTAAGATAGGTTTGGATGGAGAATGTTGGTCAACAGCCTATGCTTCTTGACGATAGGTAATGGTCATAAGTAAGTAAGTAAGTAAGTAAGTAAGTAAGTAAGTAAGTAAGTAAGTAAGTAAGTAAGTAAGTAAGTAAGTAAGTAAGTAAGTAAGTAAGTAAGTAAGTAAGTAAGTAAGTAAGTAAGTAAGTAAGTAAGTAAGTAAGTAAGTAAGTAAGTAAGTAAGTAAGTAAGTAAGTAAGTAAGTAAGTAAGTAAGTAAGTAAGTAAGTAAGTAAGTAAGTAAGTAAGTAAGTAAGTAAGTAAGTAAGTAAGTAAGTAAGTAAGTAAGTAAGTAAGTAAGTAAGTAAGTAAGTAAGTAAGTAAGTAAGTAAGTAAGTAAGTAAGTAAGTAAGTAAGTAAGTAAGTAAGTAATTAACCAGTTAAATGCTAGTTGGTACATTGGATTCTAATCTTTCCTAATTTTTTTGTCAAGATAGAAAACTAATGATTTCAACAAGAATTAAGTAAATTTATCATTTTAATTTTATTTTCACATAACAACCACAAAAATATCTATATGGTAACTCATTTTAAAATCAATACTCAATCATGATTGTTTTTTTTTGTGTAAAGTTTATCTATCATATAGTAACTATATTCAAACTATTGATACCATCTATCATTTGTTTAAAATCATTATTGAATTGTTTCTCCATATTTTGAATTAGATCATTGACATTTTTTGAATCTATTCAATATTGAATTAAACAATCAAACAAACAAAATTAAATTTACCAATTTCAAATTGAAAAAGATCATGTAAATCATTGAGAGTAATTGAACCAACATTTTCAGCGGGAATTTCACTATTTAAATTTAAAACTGGAAAATTATTCTAAGAAAAAAGAAAAAAATATATTATTTTTTCAATGAAATTTATTCTTTTTATTTTATTTTATTTTTTTAATTTATTTTTTGAGTTATCACTAACTTTGGTGGAGTTTTGTTCTCTGAGCTGGATGGTTTGGTCGTGGAGCTTTCATCGTTCTTCTGAACGACATCATCAGCACAAACTTCAAATAGAAGTTCTGTTTGAATTTGTGCTGATGATGTCGTTCAGAAGAACGATGAAAGCTCCATGACCAAACCATCCAGCTCAGAGAACAAAACTCCACCAAAATCATCCACCTGAGCTACAAATCTTCTCCACCATCTCGTTATCACTAACTATATTATAAGATTGTAGAAATTCATGTAGATCTTTTGGAAACCAGCTTTGATTCATTTGGATTTGATGAAATTTTTTATAGAAATCAATGAAAAACTTTGTTTCTTCGTTTTCTTTTTCTTCTTTTTCTTCTTCTTCTTCTTCGTCATTTTCATCGATATTCGTATTTTGTTTCTGTCTTTTGATAATTGGTAATTTGTTCAATTCATATATGAAATGTTTCCTAAACATAATTGAGAAGAGATAGTTGTTCATTTGTTGTTACTGCCGTTTTGACTTTTAATATAAATTCATAGAAAATTCTTGACAGTGTAAGGTTATGGAGATTGATCTCAATCAAAAACCTAATAATCTCCACAACTCTATACTGATAATTACTATGTGCTCACTAGTGACTGGATTCGTGAAGGAATTCTCAGAGTTCTAGTAAGAAGCTGTGACTAGTGAAGATCATTCGTGTAGGGTAGAAACAGGCATCTACCTCAATACAATGGTGGATGTGTCGCTCAATTTCGTGGATTAGTTGAAGTTAGACATCAAAACCGTTGAATGCCAGCCGGCTCAATGGTCTAGTGGTTGAGTGTTCACGCGCGAAACCAACAGGTCCACAATTCGAAACTCGCGAGACAGGATTGTGCACGCGAATTGTTGAGGAGTCTCACAGTAGGACGAAACGGCCATCTAATGCTTTTAGGTAGTCCATGGTGATCTAGCTTCAATCAATTCATGATCTCAACTATTACAATTACAATAATAAATTTGTCATGAAAGATAAAGAAACTGTTAACCTGTTGGTGATTACATTTTTTTCTTTTTTGTCATTTCTACAACGTGAGTAAATCAGATAAATTCACTTTAAAAAAATCAATATTTCTCTATTTCTCTCATTATTCTTGTGTATTGTTTTCTAATTAGATTACATATGTATGTATATACATGTTTTGCTTACATCATGATTATTTAATTAATGGTGAACATTATTATAGTTGCCATGACAAATATTAGAAAGCATTTTGAATGTTTAATCAATCACTAAGTGATCATTAAATGATATTAATCGATGCGCACTGCTGAGGAGTCTTACAATAGGATGAAATGGCCGTCCAATGCTTCTAAGTTTTCCATAGTAGTCTACCTTTAATTGACTAACGAACTGAACTATTAGAAAATTATTATAATATTCACAAAACCCTTTCTGACATTAATTTTCATTCAGTTAATATAGCTTAAGTATTTTTCTTAAGTACAGATGTTAAAAATTAGTAAATATTATCAAGTTGGATAGACAAATAATATCATGTAGTTGTTGACTGGGCCTTAGATAAACAATCAAATCCGGTGAAAGTTCTAAAAATTCATCACTTTTGTCGACCCGAAGTTGTTAAATGAATTGACATATAATGAAGTTAAGAAAACTGTTAAAATTTGTAACAATCTACATCATAAAGTTATTATGGTTAGAAAACCATTGAAAATCAAGACAAACTGAACAGCTATGATGTAGAGTTACAAAATTGACATTTATAAATCTTAATCCAAATTAGAAAATTTACTATTAAATATTGCACAATTGAAGTGACTTCAGCTAAACAACTAAAAAATTTAAAAATCAGCAGACCACTGAGTTACGATCTAGTGATTCGAATTACCGAGTACGATCTCCGTTATAGTCTTAGATGTGCATGAATATCTGGCCTTAAAATAGAGCAAAAAGACTTCCTGTCGCTGCTTGATTTCAAAAGATTTTATAACCTAAATTGGTTGATATTGTAAACTGTCTTAGGATTAGACAATTTTAGTAAATATGTATAATAATATATTAATAAACCTAGTAAAACTACTTTGAAAAAGTGGGAAAATGATTAAAAGCAAACATGAACTAACTTGAAGCGATAAGTTAACACGACAGGAAGGTGTATCAGTTTTAAATCGAATGGGTTAGGATCCTATGAGCACGTCAGGTTGAATGAGAATATTTTAGATGTACAATTTGGTTTTATTAATATATATCTCATTTAATTTTTAACCTAATATATTCATATATATGTACGTATTACGGCTATTTTTACTGTCAAATAGTATCTATCTTTATACGCCCTTTTAGATTATGTGTGGTGCCATAGGTGTGGAATCTTATCACCTGCTTCTACTTTCGGACTACATGAAGGGAAAATACTTTGTCAATATGGGATGCTTTCTTTCTCAGTGAAAAGCCAATCAAGACCTTTCTTGTGTTAAAACGCATTGGATAACTATTTTGTCATATCCGGAAGTAATTAATGACTTCTTTATTCATATCACTAGTAAGTTAACATCGGGGACTTTTAGATTTATAGAACCACGCTACTATGCTATGCCACTAAACAATCCCGTGGAGTGGACTCAAGCTAGCCAATGAAAAATCTTCAGCATATTTACAGCCGTAGATATTCTTAAATAAAAAGCAGAAATCAAATAACCGATGAGATTTCCTATTGAGTTTTGGTAAGTAAATCAACTCATCATAACCAATCTCAATCAAGATTTTAAAGTTTCGTAGTTTATTTTTCTTACTAAACGTAGCATAACTATGAAGTAAATAAAAGTTCCAACAAATTATGCTTTTGAATCTACATAATTTCAACGCACTGAACAATATTGTCGGAGAAACGGCAAATATCTTGATACATAAAAGGTAATAAGGTTACGTAAATGATTTGTCTGTCATTTCTTATGACTTTTCAGCACTTTAGGTTTACCAGCCCACTAAAATTTACATTTTAAGGCTGTTAATGGAATCTCCTCACACAGTGTTGTTTTTCTGATGGACACAACCGTTCGAGTTGTCTCTGAGTATCCAACCTACACAGTCGGTCCGACAGAGGTACTTCTAAAATTCTAAAAAAGAATACTAACTCAGAATAAATTGCCATGCAATCTAAAAGCGAATCATGCACTCAATTTAGAGTGACTCGCGTTCTAGTCGCTCGTCCCCTTCTGAATGGATCACAGGCTAAGACAATATATCCTTAGCTCATGTAGTGTTTTTGACTTTAGTATAATCTTTTAGAAGCTTATTTATTCTACGACCTAACCAAAGCACACTGGACTTGTGATTTATAAGAATTAGGAACAAGATAAGAAACTTTCTAGTTGGCAGTAAGCAAAATGGTTAAAATTATCAAAGTACCACTTTAGTTGGACCACGTTAAACATGAGGTTTAATTTTCGTCATAATTGCGATTATACGTAGTTGGTTTTGGGAATTTATCCGAAAGAACGGATCATATTTTTGGAGTTAATGCAGAAGAGTGTAGAAATTTCGAAAGTGACGTTAGGTTGAAGTAATTAATTAAATAGGCTGAGCGCTAGTGTTTAGAAAATTCATCGGAGCATTGTACGTCATACATACTACCATTTAGAAGCATTTTAACTACTACAAACGAAGCAACTGTGTTTTATCTTGTTAAACCAATAATATTTAGAGTATCACTGTTTTAAATTAGTTTAAAAACTCATTCACGTTAAAGATACTTGGTAAGAAATTTACTCAACATGATCAACCAGATATTTTTTCGATGGAGAGCCTTTAAAACTGCAGGACGTGAGGCTAAGTAAAGTAAAAAATTAAATTAAGGCAGACATAAGATACCATAACCAATTTCCTTGTTCCTTCAACATCCTAATTAATCTCATTCAACTTATCCACTTCGAGCACGTAATATGCACACGAACAAAACTGTTATTCTCAAAGAGTCCGTATTTGCTTTTTTACGGTATTTCAAAGCTCATATATACAAACATTTAATATCGCTAGAATTCAAATGACCTACGTATCCGGATGATTATGATGAGTGGTATGTATGAAATGTAATCTTAACGCACACTGAATATGTATGATAAAAACGACAAACGTCTGGAAAGGCGAGGAAACAGCTGTTACTTAGCGATTTCACATACATGAATTCTTAAAAACAACTTTTTAGTTTCTATGACAGCTATTGGAAGGGGAGGATTAAAACAAAATTGAATACTGCATAATCTTCTGGACCGAGGAAATGTGGTTCCATAAAAAAACATCTCCCTTGATCACTAAATTACATAATAATCTTAAATTTCTAGTGTACCAAATGTTAAGAGCTAGGTCCAAATTAAAGGACATCTATAGTCTCCAGTCTTCAGTAATAAGGATAGTAGGTTGGTGAACCTGTGTTAATCCTGGCAGATTGCATTCCAGTGAAGGTCCAGCTTCTCTTTGAAAATATCAACTGATAGCGCTGATACCACTTGTTCGGATAAGGCGTTCCAATCATTGACTACTCGATGAGAAAAACGGGACTCCACTTTAAGTTTATTAGATCGTGGTTTGTGAACCTTCTTGCTATGACCTCGGAGATTATTAGAGCTGGAGGGAGAAAAACGATAAGACATATTAGCGCCTAAATCATAATTAAAGATACAAATTGTCAGTATGATGTCGCCTCGCGTCCTACAATACGAAGAGTGGAAAAGGTCTAGGTGTTTTAAACGCCCATCGTAAGGAAGTTTAGAAAGACCCTTCACTAATTTTGTTCCCATTCGCTGAACGCACTCAAGTGAGTTAGTATCCTTTATCAGACATGGGCCAGCTACTTGGATACAGTACTCTAAGTTTGATTTTACATGGGTGGGATATAAAATTCGAAACATTTCCTCGTCAAAAGATTTGAACGCTCGGTGAAGTGACCATAACTCACGAAAATCTTTGACAGCAGCTGCGTTGCAATGCGTAGTTGTTTTTAAGTCATGAATTATTGTTACTCTTAAGTCTTTATGTTCTTGAACGCATGGAAGAGGTGTAGAATTATGGTCTATTATGATACTAGTACTGCTGTAATAATAGACCTAATCCTATAATTGTAGGTTTGTCATGATATAACTGCCTAACCTATAAGATCTCACGTGGAAGCCACATCATCTTCTACATCAACTCACTACATCGTAACAATTACCAACACATGATAGAGAACAAACTTAGGCTAGAGATAGAACAATATATTTGATGTGAATAAAAGATATGGGGTAACATTCAGCAGGGA